ATATATATACTTATATATATATATATATATATATAAACTTCTAGTGAAGAAGAGAGTGAATGCGAATGTGAGGAAAATTCTTGTTCATGTGCATTCAATATCAATGTGATTAATGCTGAAATAAAAATAGCTCTAGAAATGGTAGATAAAATATCCAATGAAGAAGATAAAATAGAATATTTAAATAAATTAAAAAATCTAATTCTAGAAGAAAATTATGTCGAATCTACCTCCAGTTCGCATAATTTCTCGTTCTTTCTTAAATATTTCATATATCGTTTCTGAATTTTTCTTATTCAATATTTCATATTCATATCCTGTTTATATTCATTATACGAGAATAACTGGATTAGGACCTGAAGAAGATAATTTAGAAAATACTATTTATAATTTTCAAATATATCGAAGAACCATTTCTTCTACTCTTCAAAGATTAATAATAAGCTTAATAAATGATGATTAAATTTAACCATTTCTTGGAGTTGTGCAGCATTTTATGTACAAAATGCTTCGGAAATAGAAAGAGGAGAACCAAGAATGGTCATAAATTATAAACCTTTGAATAAAGCTTTAAAATGGATAAGATATCCTTTACCTAACAAATCAGAATTAATAAATAGAATATATAATGCCACAATATTTTCAAAATTTGACATGAAAAGTGGTTATTATCAAATAAAAGTTAAAGAATCAGAAAAGTATAAAACTGCATTTGTAGTTCCTTTTGGTCAATACGAGTGGAATGTAATGCCCATGGGACTTAAGAATGCTCCCTCTGAATTCCAAAACATAATGAATACTATCATAAATCCTTATTCAAAATTTGCACTAGTCTATATAGACGATGTGTTAATTTTTTCAGAATCTATTGAATAACATATGAAACATTTAAGAATATTTAAGAATTTAATCAAGAAAAATGGAATGGTAATATCCCAAAAGAAAATAAAATTGGCTCAAACAAAGATAAGATTTTTGGGTCATGATATATATCAAGGAACAATAACTCCTATTAAAAGAAGTATTGAATTTTCTGAAAAATTTCCCAATGAAATAAAAGACAAAACTCAATTACAAAGATTTTTGGGATGTGTAAATTACGTAGCAGATTTTATCCCTAATATAAGAATTCTTTGTAAACCCCTATATAGTAGATTAAGAAAAAACCCAAAACCTTGGACCCCCGAATTAACAAGAATAGTTCAAGAAGTAAAGGCCCAAGTGAAAACCTTACCTTGTTTAGGAATACCACACCCTGAAGCCCAATTAATAGTAGAAACCGATGCTTCGGACCAAGGGTATGGAGGAATATTAAAACAAAAACTAGAAAACCACCCTGAACAAATAATAAAATATCATTCGGGTATATGGAACCCAGCCCAATCCAAATATAGTACCATTAAGAAAGAAATTTTAAGCATTGTTTTATGCATGAACAAATTTCAGCATGATTTAATAAATAAAAAATTTCTTTTACGAATAGATTGTAAATCGGCAAAAGAAGTTTTAGAAAAAGATGTTAAAAACCTGGTTTCTAAACAGATTTTTGCCAGATGGCAAAGTTTAATATCTTGTTTTGATTTTGCAATTGAATTTATAAAAGGAAAGAATAATTCAATACCAGACTTTTTAACAAGAGAATTCTTGCAGGGCTCCGCTCATGTCGAACCCCCTAAAGAAAATGGGCTGTTCTTATATTGACCTAACTTGGAGGCTCTGCCACCATTACAGAGAAATATAAGTTCTGAGAATATTAATTCTGTTTAATAATTTGAAACATACTTGTTTTCTGAATCATTTGAATATCATTTTTTAGCTTTGAAATTTCCAAGAATAATTTTATTATCCCAACTTTGCCTAGTTCATTGTGGGTAGTGGAAACGTTGGTAAGCCGGAGAGTGGTAGTAAGACCTAGTGAGAGGCAGTAAAACCCGAGGTGTTCCCGTTATACTACTTGTGTGATAGGATGGAAAGGGTAATAAAAATATTCAAAGGAAAAGATAAGTTAGAAGAAGATATGAAAAATGATGAAGAAAATAATATGAATCAGTTATTACAACACGAATTAATAATCCCAGAAATAGAAAACCAGTTAAATAGGTGGATACTCCCAAAATTGAAAATCTCTAGTATATATGAAAAAGAGTGGACTTCAAAATTACTTCTGAATATGTTATAAAAACAGTAGACAAAGAAATTGATCTTAAAACAAGTCATGAACAAATCCCTTTAATAACTAAAGCTTTAATAGTTGAACATATTAAAAATTATAAATATATGCATATAGGTTCTATTCAAATTGCCATAAAACCTCTGTTTAGGTTAGGCATGGATACTCCTATATTCGTAGCTTTAAGAGATAATAGGCCAACTGAACTTGAAAATCAGATATTGGCTATGTTTGAAACGAATTTGCATAATGGACCAGCATATATTAATAATTATCCAAATTATTCAATAGCACTTAAAAGTTTTCACCATACCGATAATAATTTAATATTAGATGTTAAAATACAAGAAAATAAATGGAATGAAAATTCATACCCTATAGCAATACTTTATAGAATATATTATAAAGTGATGAAAACTCATTTGGCTCCTAAAGCCTTATTAATGAATCCAAAGGATGAAACTACCATGTTGTTAGTAAATCCTGAAAAAATAAGTGCAGTAATACCAAAAACCTTAAAACATAATGAAGTAACAATTGGATTAAAATGGAGGTTAGAAGATATATTAAAACCAGAACCCCCAGAACCAGTAGAAGTAGAAGAAATTGTAGAATATAAATCAGGAACTGTTGAAATTTCTTTTGCCCCTTTAAGAAGAATAAATTCTTTAAGAATAGGAGAAAGCTCTAGGGCATCCCCTAATACTTTTCATACTGCTAGAAGATCATTAGACAGATCAAGTTTAATATATCATAAAAACATGAATTTAAAAGGAATTAGACCAAACCATACAGTCCCAACCCCAGAATATACTTGGGAAGAAACAAAAACTCATAACTCTCCATCACAAACCGAACTTGCCGAAGAAGAAAATATAGATTCTACTATAAATGTTATAAATAAATTTGAAATAGATAAAGAGTTACTAAAACAAGAATTCTTAGCCGAAGAAAATAAAGAAAAAAGAAAATGGTTTTTTGAAACATTTACACAAGAAGAATTAAAAACCCTTAGAGAACAATATTATGAACATCTAGAAGAAATTCAAGAAAATATTCCATATTTCCAATGGTTTGAAGAAAATTGTTTTAAAAATTTAACTGTTAATGTTCTTAAAAATGCTACTAAAATATGGAAAACTAAATCAGGAGAAAAAATAAGTGAAATACCCCCATTAGAAGAAGTTAAATTCCCAAATATAGAAAATAAGGAAGTAGTAGCATCACCCTTTAAAATGATAGGAAGAAGAAATCCAGATGAAAATCCCACAGTATTAGATATACAAAATATTCATAGTCAAATAAATTATACTAATCAATTAATACATCAAGTAGCTTTAAAAGTTTATGAAGAAAAACCAGAAAGTTCAAGATATACAGAATATTCATAGTCAAATAAATTATACTAATCAATTAATACATCAAGTAGCTTTAAAAGTTTATGAAGAAAAACTAGAAAGTGCGGATAAAAATCCTTTAGGAATAAAACCCTTAGAAAGATCTTTAATTACTCCCACTAGATTTACAGATAAAGAATATAAAGAATTTAAATTAGGAAATAACACAGACAATTTATTGTCAGAAATAAATAAAAAATTAGAAAAATTAAATATAAAAAATATAAATATAATAGATATCCCTCAAGAAGAAATAGGTAATTTAGATATAGAAGATTTAGAAGATAATATATTTAAAATACAGAGAAAATTTACCCAAACACAACCTAATTATAATATGCCTACTACTAGAAATTATTATCAAAGGCCAACCCTTCCAGATATACAATTCGAAGAATGGAACTTAGAAAATCCTTCCTCCTTTAATGGTGAAGGAATTTCTGAATGGAATATAGATGGGATGACCGAACATCAAATCTTAAGAAAAACACACGAAATGTCCATGGCTGCTTCAGCCTATAGAGCAAAACATAGTGAACAACAAACTGTTAAATTATTAATAGCTGGATTTACAGGAGCATTAAAAGGTTGGTGGGATAATTATCTCTCCTCTGAACAAAGACAATATATTTTAACAGTAGTAAAATCTGAAGACGGAACTCCCTTAATGG